TTGGTCAACTCCAGTCCCCCTGCCACTCAGCCAATCCCCAAGTCCTGAGTGGAGGCACCTCCACTCCTCTCTCCTCATACTCCTTGCAATGAAAGTTAACATGGAGTCATAGTTCTAGGCTGTGGGTTCAGGAGTCCTCTCAGGAAAGGAGGATTCCCCCAGGGGCCAGAGTAGTTCACTCACCAGGAGGGTGGGACCAGTAGGGGCAGTTTAGACAAAGCCGCGCTTCAAGTGGCATTAGTCATTGCAGCTTCCTCTGCCCACCTGCCCACACACCAAGCTCTCAGCTCCATGCTTTCTTAACCCAGGCCCCACACACCTTCCCCATCTTCTGAAACCTCAAACAATTGCATTCCCCCTTGTGCCATGCAACAGAACCATTCTCTGAGACCTGAGTGCAGCTATCTCCTTGAAGCCCTCTTAAAACGTAAATATCTCAGTGAAGAGCAACTTATCCAGTGACTAACACCTCAATCTGAATGGATACAGGCTTCCTAATTGATAGAAGATGCTCTGTGCAGCCTGGGAGCTGAGTGCCAGGGGTTGGCAAAGGCCGACCAGAGGAAGGCAGTGCATGAAGTGGAAAGAGACTGGATATTGGCGCCAGAGCTGGGTTCAGATTCTGGCCTCTTACTATTGGGTGATGCCGTCTCTGAGCCTGAGCTTCCTCACCTGTCAAATTGGTATAATAGTAACAACTCCTAGGTGCTAATGAGGAGTACACAAGATCATGTATTCAAAGTGCCTGGCACACGCTGTGCGCGGTGGTGGCGTGCACCTCAGCTACTCAGGAAGCTGAGGTGACATCATTTGCACCCAGGAGTTCTGGGCTGTAGTGCACCCGCAGTGCCCATCAGGGGCCCACACAGTGTTCAGCATCAATACAGTAACCTCCTGCAAGCAGGGGATCACCAGGATGCCTCAGGGAGGGGTGAGCCAGCCAAGGTTGAAAATAGAACAGGTCAAAACTCCCGTGCAGATCAGTCATGGGATCGTGCCTGTGAACAGCCACTGCACTCCAGCCTGGGCAACATAGCGCGATCCCGTCTCTAAAAATATATGTATTTTTTAAAGCACCTGTCATATAATGGGCACTTAAACCTTTTTGTTTCCTCATCCCTTTCTTCTCACAGTGGGAGAAGCAACATGGAGATGAGGAGGGGGTGAGGCTGAGGCCCAAATCAGGCTGTCACGCTGGGAGATTTATTTTCATCATGACTGGCCTGGTTGTTTCGGAGGGGGGAAGGAGGAAGATGTGGGGGTGCCTCTTCAGCTGCTGCACTTGAAGGCCCCCACACCCCCTACTCCCACCTCCAGTCCTGATGGCAGGCACTGGGGGGTGGGCGGGGAGGTGGGTGAGCAAAGCCCTGAGGCAGCCTAGCTGTCACCCTTGCCCCTTCTCACTCTGCACCAGAGACCTCTGCCTTGTCCTCAGGCTGCCAGTCGGCCAAGCCACTCTGCATGCAGGAGGGTGGGCCAGCTGGCTGAGCTCAGCCCAGGGTTGACACAAACATGGGAAGGTTCTGCAGGAAACACCAGGCAGCCGCGGCCTCTGTCCCTGAGAGGAGCAGCGAGGGAGCCGCAGGGCCGGGCTGCGGCATGACACTAGAGACGTGTGGGGAATGCAAGCGGGTCCAGGTCTGGGGGCCACCAGTGCAGAAGCAAGGGCAGGCCGGCCATCAGAGCTGGGGGGTGGGGGGGCGCTGAGCTTGGCATGGGAGTTTCCCCAACTGACTGTGTCTTCCGAGGACCCTCACCCCTCATGCCCATCTGTGTCCTGGAGGGAGGAGCCACCACCCCTCTGTGACATCTGCTTTTTGGGGGCTGGCGATGGAACAAGCTCATGGACAGGAGTGGAGCCCCTGGCACAAAGCAGATGTCACAGAGGGGTGGTGAAGTCTGCCCAAATCAGAGAGGAAGAAATACATCTCTCTTATCACTAACATCAGGAGGGCAAGCAAGGAACCACACAGAATTGACAATAATTGCGATTTTGCCACCAAGAGGAATCACAAAGTTTGACAATAAGTGTGACAATATTGACACAAGTGTGACTTTGCCACCAAGAGGAATCACAAAATTTTTTCTATTTTTTATTTTGTTTTATTTTACTTTTAAGTGCTGGGATACACGTGCAGAACGTGTGGGTTTGTTACACAGGTATACATGTGCCATGGTGGTTTGCTGCACCCATCAACCCGTTATCTAGGTTTTAAGCCCCGCATGCATTAGGTATTTGTCCTAATGCTCTCCTCACCCTCGCTCCCCACCCCCAGACAGGCCCCGGTGTGTGATGCTCCCCTCCCTGTGTCCGTGAGTTCTCACTGTTCAACTCCCACTTATGAGTGAGAACACGCGATGTTTGGTTTTCTGTTCCTGAGAATCATAGAGTTTTCACAGCCCAGTACAATAATTGCAGATACGTGACATACAGTTGTGTGACATGTAGAGCCCAATAGTCCAGTGAATGGGACGCTTTAGTAAAAAAGCACATACTGTATTATAAGTTTATGTTTTAGGATATTTTGATGATTACGTTTTAGAAATAGTTTCCTTTGTAACCTTGTTTATTTTACTTTATGCATATGAAACCATCATTCAGAGGAGGGGTCCATGGCCTCGCCAAGATGAAACAGAGGTCATTGGCACAAAAAGGCTAAAATGTTGTGCCCTGGAACCAGGAGTTTCTGATCCAGGCCTGCAACATACTATATGACCCTGGCCACATAATTTCATTGTGCCTCAGTTGCTTCAACTATAAACCTGTGACATATGATGCTTGGAGGGTTAAATGTGACAAAAGCATTAGCACACTGTCTGCCATACAGTGAGTGCCCCAGCATGGACACTGACGCACCATCTTGATTCCTCCTGCCTTTCACAGGTATAGGGAGCTTCCCCAGCCTGCCTGCATCTGAGAAGATTCCATCAGAGAAACAGAACCAGTAGGAGGCAGATATTAAGAGCTGTGTTGTGGCCAGGCATGGTGGCTCATGCCTGTAATCCCAGCACTTTGGGAGGACAAGGTGGGCCAATCACCTGAGGTCAGGAGTTCAAGACCAGCCTGACCAACATGGAGAAACCCTGTCTCTACTAAAAATACAAAACTAACTGGGTGTGGTGGCAGGTGTCTGCAATCCCAGCTACTTGGGAGGCTGAGGCAGGAGAATCACTTAAACCCAGGAGGTGGAGATTGCAGTGAGCCGAGATTGCACCATTGCACTCCAGCCTGGGCAACAAGAGCAAAACTCTGTCTAAAAAAAAAAAAAAGAAAGAAAAAAAAAAAGAGAGAGAGATGTGTTGCAAGAAATTGGCTTACACGACTGTGGGGGCTGGATCCCCAGTGCAGGCTCTCACGAGGGGCAGTCTAGAACTCTCAGGCTGATGCTGCAGTTCACAGGTGGGATTTCTTCTCAAGAAAGCCTCAGCTCTGCTCCTAAGGCCTTTCAACTGATTGACTCATGCCCACTCAGATTATCTCCTTTATTTAAGGTCAACCGGCCCGGTGCAGTGGCGCATGCCTGTAATCCCAGCACTTTGGCAGGAAGATTGCTTGAGGCCAGGAGTTTGAGAGAGGACTGGGCATCAGAGCAAGAGCCTCATCTCTACAAAACACTAAAAAATTAGCCTGGTGTGGTGGCACACTCCTATACTCCTAGCTACTCTGGAGGCCAAGGGGGGAGGATCACTTGAACCCAGGAGTTCAAGGCCCGCAGTCAGCTATGATCTTGCCACTTATACTCCAAAACAAAACAAAACAAAACAAAAAACCAATTATAGATATCAACCACATTGCTGTGACTTGAATGTCTCCTCCAAAACTCAATCTGAAACTTAATCCCTAATTTAATAGTATTGGCAGGTGATAGGGCCTTTCAGAGGTAATTGAGTCATGTGGGCATTCATGGATTAATGGGTTATCATGGGAGTGGATTAGTTATCACAGGAGTGAGTCTTACAAAAATCCAGCTTGGCTCTCTCTCTTGAGCCCCCTCCCCATATGATGCCCTGCACTGACCATTAGCAAGAAGGCCTTCATCAGATGGGCCCCCTTAACCTTGGACTTCTCAACCTCCAGAACTCTAAGAAACACATTTCTTTTCTTTTTAAATTGCCCAGTCTCAGGTATTCAGTTATAGCAACAGAAAATAGACTAAGATACACATCTACAAGATACCTCCACAGCAACTCCTAGATTAGTGTTGATGGAATAACTGGGGACTGTAACCTAGCCAAGTCGACACCTAAGACCAAGGACAGGACAGCAAGGTCCTGAAGAGTTTCATGTGGGGAGAGGGGAAGAAGAGAGTAGGGAGGTCAATGTGGACCCCTCAGTTAATTTCCCCAGTGCTCAATGAGACCTGCCCCACCTCTCATTCGGAGCCTTGGCCAGGCCCTGCCCCTACTCGCCTCTCTTGTGTGGGCCACGTGAGCCCCTCCTGTGTGCCGGGAGCACGTGGGTACAGGCACACATAGAGAATGCTGTGTCCGTAGGAAACCCAGTGAGCCTGGAGGGCCTCGAGGTGCCATTTACAGGTCACTCTCTTGGGCCAGGCCTTACTGGGGATGCCAGGGTGAACAAGATGTGGTCAATGCTTTTGAAGGGCTCCCACCTGGTAGAAGTAGCCAACAAGTAAGGGGACAAAGGCCCCTCTGAAGTACATGTCAGGTGGGCCGGGCGCGGTGGCTCACACCTGTAATCCCAGCACTTTGGGAGGCCGAAGCAAGCATCACTTGAGGTCAGGAGTTCGTGACCAGCCTGGTCAACAGGTGGAAACCCCATCTCTACTAAAAATACAAAAATTAGCCGGGTGTGGTGGTGCATGCCTGTAATCCCAGCTACTTGGGAGGCTGAGGCAGGCGAGTCACTTGAACCCCAGAGGCGGAGGTTGCAGTGAGCGGAGATTGCGCCACTGCACTCCAGCCTGGGTGACAGAGCGAGACTCCATCTCAAAAAAAAAAAAAAAATACGTAAATAATAAAAAGTACATGTTAGGCATGGTTATCGCCTGGAGAGCCAGGAACATCCTTGAGAGGCGACTTGGGGAGGCGCCCGCTGGGCTGCTCTAGCCCACTCTGGGCCAGAATCGTGATTCTAATTGCAGGTAGGCTTTACCCTATCAAAGCCCCCTAGGCTGGGGACTCTGTGAAGAAGCAAGGTGTGCTCGAAACCTCCCTCTCTGCTGAGAAATCTGGACGAGCTCCTGACTGGCTGCATTTCTGCTTCAGCCCGTCCTCAGGGAAGCAGGAGGCCCTGGGTCTCCACGGGCGCTCTGTGAACGACTGCAGACGCTGGTGGTGCTGCTTCCCTGTCTGTCTGCCTAGGACAGTGCCTACTGACTTCTGACTGCTGCCCCGTGGTCCAGAGCTCCAGGTACACCACTGCAATGTCACTTCGTGCTTGGGGTTCCAACTAGACAGACGCCCCATGTTGCACAGCCCTTGAGCCGTCCTGCGTAGCATGCCCCCTGGTGGCCCTGGGCAGTTATTACGGTCAATCCTTTCTTGCCCAGATGCCTCTAGCATAGGCCACAGCAGCAGGCCGGTTCGTTGTGTCTGGAAAGCCCAGAGAAAGTGTTCCTGGAGAAAGAGGCCATCTGATCTGAGTTTTATGAACCAGAGGATAAAGAAAGGAAGGGATTTCTGGGCCTCAGAAAACCACATGCCAACGCATGGGGGTATTAAGGAGAGGGGCTCTTGAACCTCAGGCTGGTAAAATCTGGAAGGGCACAGGGAGGAGGGGTAATCTTTCTAGTTGATAGAAATAAAGTGGGGATGAGGAAGAGCAGGAAAGTCTGTCGACAAACCTGAAAGTGGGAGCGATCTTTTGTCAAATCCCGGGTCAACCTGAGCTCTCATTAATTGGGAAACTGGAGAGCCAGATCCTCTAAAGACAGTGAAAATGTTTGTTCTAAAGAACCCCTGCCAGGTCCCCGTTTACATGACTCATAAAGAGGCCTTCAGGCAGAAAGGATCCCAGTGCACCAGTAACAGAAGGGCTCCAGGACCAGAGGGAATGGGCAGGGAACCACCACCCACACCAAGCACAGGCCCATTGTCGGCATGAGGAGCCTCGACCCTGCAGATCACCTCTCAGAGGGGAGCGGATCAGAGATTAAATTCCCCACCTTTCTACAAAATCATAGCAGAGTTTGAAAGTGCCAAGGGGAGCAGGTGAGGAGGTTTTGAGGCATGTCTGCAGCCCTTTGGAGATACCAGCTTTCTGATGTAATCCTCATAACAGTCATTCCATATTTAAGTGATTAGTCCCGTTTTACAGGTGAGGAAACTGAAGCTCAGAGAGGTTAAGCAACTTCCCCAAGGTCACACAGTAGCCAAGTAGCATAGGTGGTATTCGAACCCAGTTCTACGTGGAACCTTCACAGGCTTTTTGCTGCATTCCACAGGGGTCTGTATATTCAGGAGCAAGTCTTCCACGGCCATCATAAGTCATCCTCACAGCCCACTGGCAGGGAGGGAACTTTGCCACCATAGCTGGGATCACAGATATGGTCTCCATTTGACAGATGATAAGACTGAGGCCTGGAAGACAGCCAGTCAGTCTGTGTGATGAGCCTGAACCACCTTCTCCTTCAGGTCCTCCCCTAACCCAACATCCTCTGGGTCTGGAGGGACAGTGTCTTGAGCAACTTCTTGCAGCTGCACTTCTCCAGCTAATAGTCTAGAAAACCGAGTCTGGTCCCAAGTCTCCTCCTCGGGGTAGGAGCCAAGGGCACTGATGGGGGTCAGGAGGTGCTGGCTAAAAGATGGTGGTGCAGGTGCCCCTGGCTTTAAGCACACCCAGGTTATAAAAAGCTTGGTTCCCACACTGGCCCTAATTCTCCATGCATTGAGTGCCTTAGGTCCCCTCTCTGGATCTGTTGCTCCCCTGTAAAATAAGAGGGTGGGAGAGATGACCTTCAAGTTCAAACACCGTATATCCGCCTGGGTTGGTATAGCAGATTGCATGACTTTGTTAGGGCTGTTTTAACAAATGCTGGGTGGCTTAACCAACAGACATTTATTCTCTCACAGCTCTGGAGGCTGGAAGTCTGAGATCAAGGCAGTGGCTGGCAGGGTTGCTCCCCCTGAGGCCTCTCTTCGTGCAGCCACCCCTCTTCTCCCTGTATCTTCACATGGTTGTCCCTGTGTGTGTGTGTCTGTGTCCTAATCACCTCCTCTTATAAGGACACCAGTCAAAGTGAATTACTGGCCACCCATAGGACTTCATTTTACCTTAATTATCTCTTTAAAGTCTCCGTCTCCAAATTAGTCACAGTTTAAGGTACTGGGAGTGAGGACTTAAACATACGAATTTGGAAGACAGGACACAATTCAGCCCATAACACAGATAGAAGACACTGCTCATTTTAAAAAAAGAAGTAGCAGACCCGGTGCTATGGCCCATGCCTGTAATCCCAGCACTTTGGGAGGCCGAGGCAGGAGGATAACCTGAGGTCAGGAGTTCGAGACCAGCCTGGCCAACATGATAAAAATACAAAAATACAAAAATTAGCCAAGCATGGTGGCATGCACCTGTAATCCCAGCTACTTGGGAGGCTGAGGCAGGAGAATCACTTGAACCTGCGAGGTGGAGGTTGCAATGAGCTGAGATCGCACTGCTGCACTCCAGCCTGGGTGACACAGAAAGACTCCACCTCAAAAAAAAAAAAAAAAAAAAAAAAAGAAGAAGAAGAAGTAGCAGTCCCAGCCCTTTAACGGTGAGCTCCTGGTACATTTAAAACAGAATCTGATTCTCACTTTTTCTTCCAGGCCCACGTCAATGCCACTAATGAGGACTATCTGTCTGCAGTCTGATATTAGGGGCCAGAAATAATCTTTCTATTTGCCACTTACTGGGCACCAAACTCTTTCCTGACGCACGCTGGCTCAGGCGGGGGAGGAGGTGCGGTCCCTGGCCCCGGGAATGCTCCATCTTAGAAACAGACAGAATGTGCTGGGGTCAGAGGAAAAAGTACCTGGGCTTCAGCAGCAGATCCCAGCACAGCCACTGCCAGCTGGAGGACCTTGGGCAAGAGCCCTCTGTGAACCTCAGTTTCCTCACCTGGACAATGGGACTCACACGACTGCGGCAGACATCATGCGCCCACATTTTCTCGGTGCACAGGGGCCACCCTTCGAACTGCCAGGGTCTGCACTTCTGTGCCCGAGGTGCAGTAAGGGCCGTCTGCCAGAACCCACTCTGCATTTTGCCTCTTTGCACCCCAGGCTGGGAGAGTCCTGGAATCACTGACTTGCCGGAGCAGCCATTCACCAGTGGCCATGGGAGCTGATGCATAAATACTCCAGCACTCTGGTCCTTTGAGAGAGACACTTTGTGACACGCGTTGCTTACCTGTGACACGCCCCTCCCAGCGTGTCCCGACACGCCCCTCCCAGCATCTCCTGACACGCCCCTCCCAGCATCTCCTGACACGCCCCTCCCAGCGTCTCCCGACCTCCCCTCCCAGTGTCTCCTGACACGCCTCTCCCAGCGTCTCCTGACACGCCCCTCCCAGCGTCTCCTGACACAACCCTCTCAGCGTCTCCTGACCTCCCCTCCCAAATGTACGACGTGCACTTCTCTCTTGTTCCCACTCTGCGTCTCGCAGGCTGGATCACACAAGAGCACACATGCGTGTACACTCGTGCTTGCCATGGCAAGTATTCAAAAACTGCTGGCTATTTTGTGGGTGGTGATGAAGGGAATAGTATATTTATAATACTTGAGGCCAGGAATGTGCATCTCCTCTGTTTTCTGATCCTTCCGGGAGTAGAGTGGATTCCACCCGCTTTTTTGTAAGCCCTCAGAAGTGCTCCAGGCTCTCTGCACAGCCCCAGATCTCCCCAGAGCTTCAGCCCTCACCCAGCTCCCCAGTCAGTTTGGCCCCTGTGACGATGTGGAGGGGGCGGGGGCAAGGGAAACAGCTGGCCCTGGCTCCTAACGGGCACTCTGTTCCCATCTCAGTTGGCTGGCCCTGCCCCTGCCCCTGGCATCCCAAGAGACCCAGTGGCAAGTCCTTCCTTGGCCCTTTAGGCCCCTTTCCCCAGTCCAGTAGTGAGACACAGGGAGGCGCTGGCTGAGACACAAGCCTGCTTCCCTTCCCTGAACAGTCTTCTTCTCTTTGGCAGCAGGAACCCACCCCCTACTCCCTCTCCAGACCTACGCTCACACTCCCCGTCACCCCCAAGTGCCACCCCAGTCTGGGGTCCCTCCCTGAACTTTCGTAAGCATTGTGAATGCCCAATTCCTTCGTCGGCTGCGGAGGGCAAAGCTTAAATGCGCAGTGAGCTATAGATGGTGGCCTTCCAGGCACCGGCAGCAGGACACTTCAGGGCATCATTCAAATGCAGAGGGGAGAGAATTCTGCCCAAGGACAGGCCTATTTGGGGTGGGCACAGCGGACTTTTAGTGGAGAGTCCATACTTACGTGTGCTCTCCGGTGGCCACGGGACCCCTTCCCTCTGCTCCATGTGCCCAGGATTCAAACTCAGGCTAGTCTGATTCCCAAAACTGTGGGCTTCAGTTTTGGGAAAACTGAGAAAACTGGGCCTCAGAATAGGGATAGGGGTGGAGATGGAAGAAAATAAACCAGCCCCTCTGCCTGATCCCCTCCCTACTTTGGCTTTGGGGTTGGGAGAAGCTGCAGAGGCTTCATCCACTCTCTGCCCCTGCCCCCAGCTCCCTCTCCTGCTCTGTCCACTGGGCTGGACCCTGTCTGCTGGGCCCGTCAGGGCTCCCTATGTGTTCTCCACCAGCCAGCAATGGCCAGAGAGCCCAGCTGGCCCCAGCCTATCCCCTGACCACCCTGGGCCCTGCTCAGAGGACAAGGCTGAACTGATTCTGTCAGGAAGGGTTAGTCTTGTCTCAGGGCTGGCTGAATGCGAAAGGACGAGACAAATGCATGCAGACAGGCTCGATCCAGAGCGCTATCTGTCAAACATGCTGGCCACCTCTCTGGGAAGATCATTGAGGTTCCCTGCATCCCATCTTGGGAAGGCTGGCCTGAGGCTCCAGAGAGATGATGGGAGATGCCATGTGCCTGCAAGCCAAGGGCCCTCCGGGGAAGGGCGTCAGGATCCGCTTCGTCCTGCCTCTTGCAGAGAGGGCAACAGCTGGCTCCTTCTCCTGCCCCAGGGGGAGACTGATCAGATACCTGATTCCAGGATGAATCCAGCAGCATGAGCCCCCGCCTGGCCCCATGGGAGCATCTGGCTGGGCCTTTGGCCTATAGTCGAGTAGATAGAGGGAGGGCTGATGACTAGGTGACTACCACAGGGCTCCCTGCGCAAGGGTTCTAGCTTATTTCCACCCTCTTCCTGCACAGACAGGCTGGCAGGGCAACCGGTAGCAGGCACAGCAGATGGAACGTCAGGAATGAAATCCACAAGACTCCAAGACCCTCCCAAGGTGAGCTTGCCACGGACTACACCAGGAAGCCGAGCCCCTCACCCCAAGCCTGCCAGTGCCTACATGGCGGTCATTCCCTTGTCAGCAGACTTCCCACTGGCTTCTCTTGCTCCATTATTAAAAGCAAGAACCAAAAACTTCACTGAGGGGATGAAATCCCACTAATAAGCACGTCCATGCTTTGGGTCATCTTAGGGGCACAGAAAATCTGAGTATCCCCCATAGCATCAGGCAGAGCAGATTTCTTGTCAATTAGCTCAGCTGGTTGGAGGCTGCAGTCGTGAACACGCTGGCCTCAGGGCCCTCACAACACAGATGGGTTAGGGAATGGATGAAAGTTTGGCTGTTATTCCTGCCCGAGACTCCCCGCCCAACCTGGCCTCTAACGAGCTTTGGGCAGGCACAAAAGTGTCTCTGCTATGGTTTGAAGGCATCCCCGAAAGACCTCCGACGCAACAGTGTTGAGAAGGAGGAACTTTAGTAGGTACTGAGGTCATGAGGGCTCTGCCCTCACCAATGCATTTGTCCTCATTGCAGGAGTGGGCCCATTATCATGAGAATAGGTTTGTTATCAAATCGAATGTGGCCCCCTTCCGTCTCTCCCTTTCCCCCATGGAACGCCCCACTAGATGTGGCCTTCCAGTCATGGACTTCCCAACCTCCAGAACCATGAGACAAATGAACTGTTATTTTTTCATAGATGACTCAGCCTGCAGTACTCTGTTACAGCATCACGAAATATGTTAAAACACCCCTGAGACTCATCGGCCACCTGTCTGTCAGCTTTGCCCCAAAGATGATTTGGGAGCAGCTATAGTTAGCTTTCCTCAGACCACCTCCTGCTGGCTCCTTATGGCCACCTGCTGTGTGCCTGGAGTTTTTCTAGGTTCTTGGAATAAAGTGAACAGGCCGGGTGCAGTGGCTCATGCCTGTAATCCCAGCCCTTTAGGAGGCTGACATGGACAGATCCCCTGAGGTCAGGAGTTCAAGACCAGCCTGGCCAACATGGTGAAACCCTATCTCTGCTAAAAATACAAAAAAGTGCTGGGTATGGTGGTGGGTGCCTGTAATCCCAGCCACTCGGGAGGCTGAGGCAGGGGAATCACTTGAATCCGGGAGGCAGAGGTTGCAGTAAACCGAGGTCGCGTCACAATACTACTCCAGCCTGGGCAATAAGAGCAAAACTCCAAGTCAAAAAAAACAAAAAACGAAAAATAAAAAAACAGAAAGAATAAAGTGAACAAAGCAGGCAAAAATACCTGCCAAAAGAGAGATCGCATTCAGTGGATGTGTCCGTGTTCCTTCCTCTTCCTAAGGCATACACACATATCGACACTCCCCTGAACTCACCACTGACAGTCACTTCGCAGTGTGACGATGTTGACCAGCCTCCACGTGCTGTGTAAAGCCAGCCTGCCCTATAGTGACCCGCCCAACTGGGTGCAGAAGGCAGGCCCACCATCAGCCCAGTGGCCAGCACACCAGTTAGATACCTGCTGTTGCCAGGCAGCTGTCTGCCAGCCCGTAGGCACTAGAGAGCCTTGGGGCCTTTTCTGAGCCCTTTTAAAGAAGTGCTTCCCTTAGACATGGACTCTCAGGCCTGCTAAGAGCGGGGAGGGTGCTGCCCCGCCCCAAGGCCTTCCCTCCATCCTTTCCTGTGGGGATCACCGTGAGAGTGACAATGCCTCAGCCTGAGGCCTTGGGTGCTGCTTCCCTCAAGAAAACTGGCCAAAGAGTAGACGGCAGATACTTTCTCCACATTCCCACCCCCACAACACAGGCCAGCAGCACAGCAGCTGTAGACAAGATTTCATAAAGAACTGGAGGACAAGAAAGGGGGGTTTAAGGATCCCTAGGCTCTAGGGCCTGGCTCACACAACAATGACCTCCTCCCACCAACTTACTGGCCTTTACAAAGGCCCCACCTGGCCCAGCCCAGCCTCCTGGGCACTGGCCGAGTTCCACATCAAGACTACCAGACCCCCCCAAGTCCAGGCTCAAGAGAGAAAGCCAGACCCTGTCTCCTTCCACCTCCCTGAAAGAGGCCTGTCCTCAGGTGCCTGGCTCACATATGGGGGACCCAACTGAGAGTCACTCCCTTCTGGAAGCCCCAGGCCCTGTAAACAGGTCCCTGGCCTCAGCCTGGAGACAGCGGCCCAGTGCAACACAATCATGCCACAGCTGATCAGGGGAAACCCACGCAGCAGTTGAGGGGGCTGGGGCTTTGGGGGTTCAGTGAGGGGACTGCTTCCCTTCAGTGGAGATGCTGCCACAGGTGAGGGGAGGAAGATGAATCCAAAGGTTCTAACGTCAGCCCACAGGCTGAACTGAAGCCTGGCCTGCAGTGTTCCACCTGGGCCCCCGCCTGAGCAGCTAAAGAGTTCCGTTTCCTCAAGGCCCACAGAGTTCCTCAGAGGGAAGCTTTAGCAGCTATTTCCTTAGGAAGGCAAGTATGTGTGCAACGTTTCCTAATAAAATGCAAAGGCTGTTGGAGGCACTCCAGCCCCCTCATTTAGCTCTGAGGTGTAATTAATACATGAATTAAGCTCCTGCAGACTCACAAATGTCCAAGGAAAAAAAAATGAAAAATATAATTAGTTTGCCCATCTGACTCCATCTGTCAGCTCTGAGCTCAATGCTCGACGTAGCAAATCCTGAGGGCTTCGGCCCCGCATTGGCTGGGCCCCGCGCTGCTCCTGCCCTGCTCCAGGGAAGTGGGCCCACCGCAGCAGCTGCCCAGAGCCCAGGCTCTGGACCCAGCCTCCAGGGCAGCAAGGACTCTGGAGTACATGCACTGCAGGCTGGGAACCGAAGCACTCG